TTATTGCAAATGAATGCATCCATTATTTGAATACCAGGCATAAAGGTAAGAATTGTTATATGGCTATTAAACTAGACATGGAGAAAGCCTATGACAGGCTAGAATGGGATTTTTTTTGCTTAGGATGTGTAGATTTCTGGGTTTCTGTGACACCTTTTTCGTTTAATATTAGGGGGCAGATTTTGGGTCAGGTGATTCCCATCTAGAGGAATTAGGCAAGGATGTTCGCTTTCTCCTTATTTATTTATTCTTGCTTCTAAGGCATTATCTAACCTGATATTCCAAGCTTGTAAGGCAAAATCTTTGTTAGGTATTCAAATCAGTAAACATTCTCCCCCTATTTCTCATTTATTTTTGCAGATGATGCCTTGCTTTTCTGTAAAGCTGATCCCAATCATGCTTTCAGAATTATGTAGATTTTGAACCAATATTGTCTGGCTTCTGGGCAGGCTGTTAATATACATAAGTCTAGTATTTTTTTTTCTCTAAAAAAGACACCTTCTCTTTTGTTAAGGAGTGTGTGGTTAATAAAATTTCAAATTGGAAGAACAATTTTTTAAGTGAGGCAGGGAGAGAGGTGCTGGTTAAAACAGTGCTTGCTGCCATGCCAATCTATGTCATGTCAGTATATAAATTACCTAAAGGGGTATGTGAGGATATTTGTAGATGTATAGGTCAATTCTGGTGGGGTAAGAAGGAGGAGGGGAGGGACAAGATTCATTGGATGAAATGGGGTAGGTTATCCAAGGCTAAATCAGAGGGGGGGCTTAGGGTTTTGGTATTTTGATGACTTTAATTCAGCCCTTATTCTGAAGCAAATTTGGAGAGTCACAACCAAGCCCAATTTGTTGATGAGTAGGGTTATTAGAGGTAGGTATTTTCATAATCAAAAGATCTGGGATGTGAGGAAAAAGACAGTGATTCATGGATGTGGAAGGGGTGGTTAGCTGTTAGGAAATATCTCTTTTTGGGGTCTAAATATTCTGTGGGGTGTGGTAAAGCCATCAACATTTGGGAGCATTCATGGGTGCCTAATTTTCCTAGGGTTACTCCCAAGGAGGGTCAGACAGTAGATAGGGTTAGGTTGTCAAAAGTTGCTGATCTTATGAAGGAGGGCATGAATGAGTGGGATAGAGATTTGCTTTGTCAAATTTTTGATCCTGAGATTGCTGCCCAAATTATTAAACTGCATATCAGTAAGGTGGGATCTCAGGATAAACTAATTTGGCAGCCCAATAGGAAAGGGATTTTTACTGTTAAATCTGCTTACCAATTTATTCAGAAGCAGAAAAGTATTAAATCTGGGTAAGCAGAGGGTAGTCTAGGTCGTTCCGGGTTTAGAAAGATGTGGATAACCACATGGAAAATGCCAATAAAGAATAAGCTTAATTTTTTTTTTTTTTTTTTTTTTTTTTTT